CACACCATGGAATACTATGCAGCCATAAAAAAGGATGAGTTCGTGTCCTTGGTAGGGACATGGATGCAGCTGGAAACCATCATTCTCAGCAAACTATCGCAAGAACAGAAAACCAAATACTGCATGTTCTCACTCATAGGTGGGAATTGAACAATGATATCACTTGGACACAGGAAGGGGATTATCACACACTGGGTCCTATCATGGGGAGCGGGGCGGGGAGGGATAGCATTAGGAGATATACCTAATGTAAATGACGAGTTAATGGGTGCAGCACACCAACATGGCACATGTATACATATGTAACAAACCTGCACGTTGTGCACATGTACCCTAGAACTTAAAGTATGAAAAAAAAAAAGGGCAAAGGACATGAACAGACACTTTTCAAAAGAAGACATACATGCAGCCAACAAGCATATGAAAAAATGCTCAACATCACTGATCATTAGAGAAATGCAAATCAAAACAACAATGAGAGACCATCTCACACCAGTCCAAACGACTATTATTAAAAAATCAAAAATTAACATATGCTGGTGAGGTTGCAGAGAAAAGGGAACATTTATACACCATTGGTAGGAGTGTAAATTAATTCAACATTTGTGGAAAGCAATGTGGTATTTCCTCAAAGACCTAAAAACAAAACTACCATTTGACCCAGTAATCCCATTACTGGGTATATACTCAAAGAAATATAAATCATTCTGTCATAAAGACACATGTATGTTCACTGCAGCACTATTCACAGTAGCAAAGACATGGAATCAACCTAAATCCCCAATAATGGTAGACTGGATAAAGAAAATGCAGTACATATGCACCATAGAATACTCTGCAGCCATAAAAATGAATGAGATCATATCCTTTGCAGGAACATAGATGGAGCTGGAGGCCATTACCCTTAGCAAACTAACACAAGAACAGAAAGCCAAAAACTGCATATTCTCACTTATAAGTGGAAGGTAAATGATGAGAACAGATGAACACATACAAGGGAACATCAGACACTGGGGATTACCAGAGGGTGAAGAGTAGGAGGAGGAGAGGATGAGAAAAAAGAATTATTGAGTACTAGGCTTAATACTTGGGTAATAAAATAATCTGTACAACAAACTTCTATGACACAGGTTTACCTATATCACTAACTTGCACATATACCCCTGAATTTAAAAGTTGAAAAAAAAAGATGTTAAGTAACTGGGTTATTCATGTATCTCCTTTTCTGAAGTATCTGTTCAATTTTTGCCCATTTTTATTAGGTTATGTGTCTTTTTTAAATTATTGAGTTATAAAAGTTCTTTATCATGAATAACATATTTTTCTAGATACATTTTTGAGAATTTTTTCTCCTAGCTGTAGCAAGGATTCCTTCCTTTCTCTTTCTCTTCCATACTTCCTTTCTTTCTTCCTTTCTATCTTTTTTATATAAACACAGCTATATACTGCCTTTTAAGCACTGATTTAACTACATTCAATGAGTTATGGTAAGTTTTGTTTTCATTATCAGTTTTCAAATTTTGACACATTTGGGCATTATCTAGACATCATATTGTTATTGATTTCTTTGCATCATCCAATTGTTGTCAGAGAACATACTTTGTATGGTTTCAGTAGTTTCAAATTTATTGAGACTATTTTCCATCATATTATGTCTTCATGAAGGTAGATGTTCACTTGAAAAAGAATACGTATTCTGCAGTTGTAAAGCATAATGTTTTATAAGTATCAATTATGTCAAGATGGTTAATAGTACTTTTCTGATCTTCCATATCATCATGAATTTTTTATCAAGTTATTCTATCAATTACTAAAAAAGAAGTATTAAAATCTCCAGCTGCTTGTGGATTTCTTTCCCCTCTAGTCCTGACAATTTTTGTTTTATGTATTTTGAATCTGTTATTATATACATATTTATCATTTTTGTTTTTTATTAAAGTTTACTTTTTCCTTAAAAAACCGTTACAGAAAAGGAAAATTACAAACTTTTCTCTAGACACTGCTGTTCCTGAGCATAATTTATGGAATTACAAATCCATCTTTCTACCAAAGTAAGATAAAGCCAACGCTGAAAATGGATAGTTAGATGAAATGAACATGGGTCGTGTAGGTGATCCACTGAATTCATTAGACCTGTAGATGCCTTGCACTCCCACTTACATCATCCAATATTTTTTATTTATAAACCTAAATTATTGGGCCAGATGCAGTGGGTCACGCCTGTATTCCTAGCACTTTGGGAGGCCAAAGCGGGCGGATCATGAGGTTAGCAGATCAAGATCATCCTGGCTAACACAGTGAAACCCCGTCTCTATTTAAATAAATAAATAAATAAATACAAAATATTAGCCCAGTGCCCGTAATTCCAGCTACTTGGGAGACTGAGGCAGGCTAATCGCTTGAACCCAGGAGGTGGAGATTGCAGTGAGCCAAGATTGTGCCACTGCACTCCAGCCTGGGTGACAAGTGAGACTCCAAATCAAAATAAAATAAAATAAAATAAGCCTAAAGTATTTTTTTTTGGTATTCAGAGAAGCATATATTATAATTCTGGTATTCTAAGTTGACAGTTTTTTCTCATAAATTCTATTTATGATTTAGAAAATTGGTAAGCTTTCAGTTTGATGCATATTACATTACCCTGGTTTCACACATAAAACAATAAGAAATAGTGTTTTTACATAGAATATTTCATTTTTAGGACTAAATTATAGACTTACAGATTATAGATATCAAGCAGGAGTTGCCTGTGTATTGTTCTTCAAGCACGCTTATGAGATTGTACAGTAAAGGATCTGGAAGAAAAAGAAACAGAGCAACAATTGTGTGTTATAAAGGTGGTAGTGTTCACCCAGGTTCCATAGGGTCCACTGCATTCCCCAGTCTCCCTCATAATGTGTCCAGAATTGATGGGTTCTTGGTCTCACTGACTTCAAGAATGAAACTGTGGACCCACACAGTGAGTGTTACAGTTCTTAAAGATAGTGTGTCCCCAGTTTCTTCCTTCTGGTTGGTTCTTGGTCTCACTGGCTTCAGGAGTGAAGCTGCAGACCTTCGAGGTGAGTGCTACAGATCTTAAAAGCAGCACGTCTGGAATTGTTTGTTCTTCCCGGAGGGTTTGTGGTCTCACTGGCTTCAGGAGTGAAGCTGCAGACCTTCAGGGTGAGTGTTACAGCTCATAAAAGCAGTGTGGACCGAAAGAGTGAGTGGCAGCAAGATTTATTGCAGAGGGGAAACACAAAGCCTACACCACGTGGAAGGATACCGGATGGGGTTGGTGAAGCTGCCTGGCGGAACAGACTGCTTTTATTCCCTCATCTGGCCCCACCCACATCCTGCTGATTGGTCCATTTTGACAGAGTGCTGATTGGTGTGTTTACAATCCCTGAGCTAGACACAGAGCGCTTGGTGCACTTACAATCCTCTAGCTAGACATAAAAGTTCTCCAAGTCCCCACTAGCTTAGCTAGATACAGAGTACTGATTGATGTATTTACAAACCTTGAGCTAGACACAGAGTGCTGATTGGTGTATTTACAATCCCTTAGCTAGACATAAAAGTTCTCGAAGTCCCCACTAGACTCAGGAGCCCAGCTGGCTTCACCTAGTGGCTTCCGCCAGTGGAGCTGCCCTGCCAGTCCCCCGGAATCCACTTCTCAGGGGGTCACTTGCACCTGTACTCTTCAGCCCCTGGGTGGTTGATGGCACTGAGTGCTGTGGAGCAGGGGGCAGCGCACGAAGAGGCAGCTGAGGCCCCGCGAGAGCTCGAGCACAGCACCGGCCGGCACTGCTCGGGACCGGGCCCACCCACCGCAGCTGCTGGCCCAGGTGCTAAGCCTCTCACTGCCCTGGGCTGGAGGCACCGGTCAGCCGCTCTGAGTGCTGGGCCCCCGAGTCGCGCCCACGCCTGCCGGAACTGGCGCTGGACTCCGTGCAGCACGCAGCCCGTGCCTCTCCCTCCACACCTCCCTGCAAGCAGAGGGAGCCGGCTGCAGCCTCGGCCAGCCCAGAGAGGGACTCCCACAGTGCCGTGGCGGGCTGAAGCGCTCCTCAAGCGCTGCCAGAGTGGACGCTGAGGCTGAGGAGGCACCGAGAGCGAGGGCTGCTAGCATGTTGTCACCTCTCAATAGGAGAGCCATGTGATTAGGAGCCTAGGGCTTTGTGATTAGGAGCCTAGGGCTATGTGATTATTTTGACCAATGAGTTTGGAAAGAAAGCAATGCATATCACTACTAATCTGGGGGTATTTAAAGACAATAGAAATTCCATGTCTTTCTTCCCCTGCTGTGGCAACTGCCCTATGTATAAGAAAAAGAATATTTGGACGATTTCAACTGTAATTATTTGCGTTATTCTTCTTCAATATAAACCACTCCAGATTATTACTATAGATATTTCCTAGACAATTTCTCCCCACAGGGAGGTTCTCTGAAATTATAGAGCTGGACAGGGAAGAAAGGCCCAGAAACCTAGAAGCCATGAATGAATTATGTAAAAACGTTTTGATGGTTAATGGTCCTTACAATCAGACTCGTACAACACCGGCCCCTCTCAGGTTCCCCTTTCTGTGCCCTTCTTCCCCTGGGCAGTGCCTATCAGAGGCTCCTCTTCTCTCCCAGTGGCATCTGCTTTAGAACAATTCCTGCTGCCAGTGTGAATGAGGTTTAAGCCCTTCTCGGGGGGTCATTTGCATCTAGACAAACTTCTAACTGTTAAGACATATCCCAGCTGGGAAGGACTGAAATCTACCAACTTCCTTGGCATTCGTGCCTTTCTTTCTAGTACAGATGAAATAATTAAAACACTCTTTTTTCACTTTTGAGAAGAGACAGTTGGCCCGCATGACAGTAAATAACTACTGATTAACTTTCCATTTAAACTTTATTTTGTTTAATGGCATGAAAGAGAATTTCAGACATAGGCACGTGGTGGGGTTTGTTAGCAGTCAGGAAGCTCAGTGAAGATTAAGAGAGGAAGAAGACCATCTGGAGTTTCAGTTTTACTTTCTTTTTCTCTTGGAGCTGAGCTACAAGATAACAGGACTGAACAGGGAGCCAACTGTTTCTTTGGACAGTAAATCAGGTAAGCCAAGATTTACAAAAAGTTCTGCAGTGTTGATTTCTAGGTTCCAAGCCATGCACAAACATTTTCATTTTTCTTAGAACAAATTTGTCCTATTTTAAGAGAAACAATTTAGAGTGACTGCCTTTTCCTTAAGTGAAGCCAGTTTACAGGAAACCAATGCAATTTGCTTTACACATCACTGGCAAAGAAAGAATTTCCATAGTATAAAGCCAATAAAAAGTGCTAACTGGGAAGAATCTGGGCATTAACATGTGGCTTTCAGTTTTCTGTGCTTGTAGGCTTGGTCTATGCCTGCCAGATTTAAGCAAGAGAAACTAGCTGATGAAAATGTACCGATACTTCTCACTGCATAGTAGTTCCTAGATTGCAAGGGCTTCATAATCAATGGCTGTTGGGGAATGAGGAAAATTCAAGCAATTGATGGATCAAGTGAAGTGTATTTCTAGCTTAAAGGATTGCACGGTTTCCCAGAGTCATAATCTTAATTCATTGAGTCTGTCAGCAAAGACTCAACATGAGGGAGGAGGTTTGGAGAGAGTAGAGGAGGGAAGGAGGCAAGGTGGAAAAAGAAAGAGAGGGAAAGGGAGGACTGAGCCTCAGGTGTAAGGGAAGGCACACCTACAAAGAAAGCTGACAGAAGGGAAGAGTGTGCAGGCAAAACAAAAACAGAAGGGAGCCGGGCTGACCTGTGAGAGGATGGGAGGAAGGAAGCGAGAGAGAACTGGGTGTGAGGCTTACGAACGAAACCCACTTCTCAGCTCCTCAGCAAGTGATTCCAGTTCTCTGTAAAGTAGGAAGTCATTCTTTTCCCACCCATCTTGTCCCTTATTAGTAGACAAATGAAGCATGGTTGTTTAGAAATATAAGGATCTTGGCCTAGCGTGGTGGCTTATGCTTTTAATTCCAGCACTTTGGGAGGCCGAGGCGGGTGGATCAATTGAGGTCAGGAGTTCGAGACCAGCCTGGCCAACATGGTCAAACCCTGTCTCTACTAAAACTACAAAAATTAGCCAGGGGTGGTGGTGCACACTTGTAATCCCACCTACTCGGGAGTCTGAGGCAGGAGAATCGCTTGAACCCAGGATGTGGAGGTTGCAGTGAGCCAAGATCGCACCACTGCACTCCAGCCTGGGTGACAGAGTGAAACTGTGTCTCAAAAAAAAAGAAAGAAAAAAAGAAAGAAAGAAAAAGAAAAGAAAAATAAAGATCTTTCAGGATTTAGAACTGAAAAATAAGTTTCTTGTCTGTCTGTTTCTCAGGAACACCAATGGACCAAAATGAACACAATCACTGGGGTAAGAAAGTGACTTCTCTTGTGTGTGTGTGTGTGTGTGTGTGTGTGTGTGTGTGTCTTCTGATGATGTTGGGGCAAAATAAAAAAGAATGAAGGATCTTATTCTAACTCCCACAGCTACCACCACCGGCAGCTGAAAATTGCAGGTTTTTGTTTTGGTTTTGTTGTTGTTGTTCGTTTGTTTGTTTTGAGATGGTGTCTCGCTCTGTCACCCAGGCTGGAGTGCAGTGGCGCAATCTTGGCTCACTGCAACCTCCACCACTCAGGTTCAAGTGATTCTCCTGCCTCAGCCTCCTGAGTAGCTGGGACTAAAGGCACACACCACCATGTCCAGCTATTTTTTAAAATTATTATTATTTTTAGTAGAGACGGGGTTTCCGCCAGCCTCGACCTTGCAAAGTTCTGGGATTACAGGCATGAACCACCACATCTGGCCTGAAAATTGTTAAAATACTCACCAGGATCCAAAATAAGCATCCAGGCTTTTCCCTTATGCACAAATCTTTCAGATCTCTTTGATATATTCCTTCTCCTACCATTCAGTCTTCTCTTCCTTCTCTCACACTTCTATAGATTCTTTGTCTCTCTCTCTCTCTCTCTCTCTCTCTGTCTCTGACTCTATCATTCCCTTTCTTTCCCTTGTCCTCTCTCTCTCTCTCTCCTCTTCTTGCACCTGTTTCTGCTATCTGTATGGTATGGGTGTCTTTCTCTCTGTATCTTGACCTCCCCTTTCCCACTCCCTCCTCCTCACTCTCTGCCCCTCGCCAGCCCTATCTTCAGTCTCTTACATCAAGAAGAGCCCAGATCTTCCTCCCTTCCAAGTTCCCTTCACACTCAACCCTCACCTGTGAGAAATAGGAGGTCTCTGGCTTCATTGTGTATGGAACTTGTTTATTAACAAGCTGAACTCTGCGATCCAAATGAGAAACAACTTTTTTTCCTCCCATCACTGCCTCTTATTATGCAATCTTGATTTCCTTTTGTTTTGGTTGGGGGGGGGCGGTGATGGAGTCTTGCTCTGTGGCCCAGTCTCACTCTGTGGCTCACTGTAACCTCTGCCTCTCAGGTTCAAGTGATTCTCCTGCCTCAGCCTCCTGAGTAGCTGGGATTACAGGCATGTGTCACTATGCCTGGCTAATTTTTGTATTTTTAGTAGAGACAAGGTTTCACCATGTGGGCCAGGTTGATCTACAACTCCTGACCTCAAGTGATCTGCCTGCCTCAGCCTCGCAAAGTGTTGGGATTACAGGTATGAGCCACCGCGCCTGGCCACAATCTTGATTTATTGATGCCATCTCAGGCAGTTGCCTTTATGATTAATGCAGACTAGAAGAATAGTCTATTAAAGTCCCTATGACACATACGTCAGGTGTTGCATTGTTCGGTGCCATCTAATATCAAACTTACATTCAGTATGAGTTTCTCCTTCCTCTACCTCAGCCTCAGCCTCAGCCTGAACTCTGGGACCTTCCAAAAGTCCTCCTCTCCCTTCCAGCTCTGCCTCCTCAACCCTCATGCTAGTCCTTCTTTCCCCATCAGGCAGGAGGATGGGTGACTGGAGAAAGAAAGTGGAGTGCTTGAGTCCCATTGTCTTTGCAGTCGTCTCCTGGCTGGTCCTCACCACCATCCCATGCCCCATTACAGCAGACACCCTCCACCGTGCGAGGACACTGTGGCGGCCCCATGGGGCTGATGCTTTGCACACTTCCTGCCAGAGGCTGTGCCCTCTCTGGCTGAATTATCCAACTAGACCTCTGCTCCCACCTTCATGGCACCCCTGGCTTCCTCTTACTATTGCACTCCCTTTGCCATACAAGGCAGGCCTTTGGCAGGGCCTCATCAAGGCAGCTGTGCCTCGTTATTTTCTGTAAGATCCCTTCTGTCCATGGGAAACCCCCTAAGCCATTGCTTCTTACACCTTATCCTGGTCTCCTAGTTGGCTCTAGTCTGCCTTCAAAATTTAGAATTCTCCAGAAAGGAAATAGACACCAATTTCCATGTTTATACTTGTCTCCAAACTCCAGGTAATATCTTACTTCTCTTTAAATTTGCTCAAGAATTCTCTTCACTTTGCTGCACTTGGATAGGCTTACCAGTTTCTGTCATTCAGCAGACACCCATCTGGGAAATGACCTATCTCTCAACTTCGGTGACGTGCCCAATATTTATGAGTGGATGTTTTAGAGACCCTCTCACTTGGCTTTGGATGCAGAGAATTCTCTTCCCTATACCCTCCCCACGGGAGAGAATGAGGCTGCACTTCCTAGGAGGCCAGAAACTCAGGACTCCCACCGGTTCTCTTCAGTGACTCCCTTGATTTCTGTTTTCATAGGCGAGAGGAAGGTTAAAGGTGCAGTTTGGCTACCTCTAAGCAAGCACCAGCAAGGTGTATCAGGAGCTGCTTGGCTGCTGTTTTCAGAATATAGAAATCTGTAATGTAATGCCTGCTTCCTTTTAAGTAAAAGTGTACATTGCCTGCCCACTGTGAGGCCATAACTTCACTGGCATACAGAAAATAAGAATAAATGTCCATAAGTTTTGGCCAATTTGGCTGGAAGAGAAAATACTTAAATATATGCAACAAGTATTAGTGTAGCAGCATGGCAAAGCACTAATACTTCAGGCATAGAAAATGGGCTGGTTCAACTGCCAGCTTTTTCATTTACAAAATTGGTTAATTTTAATAGCTCTAAGTTCTTGGCCAAGTTGCAGATTCATGTGTAAAATAAGGTGAATAAAAGAAACCCATGGGTAAAAAGGTTGACAAACCATTTCCCTTTCTGCCTGAGAATTTAATCTTTGGTTAAACGTTTTAGCTCAGATTCTCTAGTAATTTAATAAGAGTAAAATGTCTATAACATTATTAGGAACTTTGCTTATGGTTGAAAACTTCTCTTGATGGATGAATTATATCTATGCTGAAAGAACTATAAATACATGCTAGGAAGCTGTTTGGAACTTCCCTGAGCAGAGTGACTTTTGTAACTCTCATGTTCCTTGCAGGGAATCTGGAAGCTAAACCCCTAGGGTTGCTACAAGAGACACTGGCTCCTGTGAGTCCGGGTGGCTTCTCTAACTGCTCAAGATGCCATCTCCTTGCCCTGGGACATCCCCAGGTGACAGTTTGCAGTGTTCCATGAATTGCTGCATAGACTTCCACTAGGTGGAAGGCCCAACATTGTCCCTCTGGCAAGCTAAGATTTCCATTAAAGTAGACTAGTGTCCCAGTGAGGCCCATGGCAGTTCTGTGAGCCCAAGAGGTCATTTGAACCAAATAAGAACAAGACCCCTGGTGGGCATTGCAGCACCTAACTCATACCATTGCTAGAAGGAGTACATTAGGTAATGAAGGTAAACCACTTGGAACAGATCCTGGCACATTAAAAGTTCTCAATAAATGGTAGATTTCACTAACTATTTAGGACTTTGTCCAAGTTACTTAACCGCTGTATGCAAGTTACTTCCTCTATAAGGAGGTTGCTATAAACAATCCTAGCCTAATTTTCACTAAGTGCTTTAGTGCACCAGCACTCTTTTAAGTTCTTTACATATATTAACTTATTTAATACTTAGAACACCACCACATGGAGTAAACCGTCATCTTCTCCAGATGCAGAGAAATTAATCAGTTGTCCAAGATCATATGACTAGCAATGGAAAGACAATTAAAACTAAGCAATCCAGCTCCAGATTCTTTATTCTTCACCACTGCATGCTGCCTCTCAGAAAGCTCATTTTCTTTGTACAGTCTAAGTTCCTTCTAAGCTCTGATATTCTGTAGTCAATGTAGATGTTCTTTCTCCAACTTTATTTCTGCAACATGAGAGTAAGGAACAGCTAAACCCCAAAAGGCCATGGGCTTAGCAGAAGAGTCTTAGTTTGTTTGGATATTCCCTCCAGAAAGATTCTTCTGTTATCATGGTATTCCATTTCATTCATACAGGTCAAATGTTCCTCCCTTACAGTAAAGGAATCAAGGAGTTAACCCTCAGGAGTCAGAGTACCCCTACCTTGCAAGTTAAATAACTCATCTCTCCACTACAAAGCTGCATCTTGAGTCTTCCATGAACCTGCCCTAGACAAGTCATTCCTTTCACTGCCATGTGGACCAGCAGAAATGGCACCATGGCTCCTATGCCTTCCCCTTTAGGGGGAATGAATGAAACACATTTTTTCCCTAAAGTCTCAAGCTCCTTCATACCTCTGTCCCCTTTCACTCGTCTCCCCAGAACCTTACCCACGTTGAAGGGAAATGGGGAAAGAGAGAGGGAAGTTTACCATATTCTGTGACTATCTTTTACAAAAATTATGCCATCCTTTCTAAGCAAAATTATGATATCCTTTATAAGATCTCAGTTATTTCTTCACTAATAAAAATAATTTTACACTGCTCATTCTAATATTTTGCTGGTCTAGACACTTCCCTGGTAGTCATGACCCCACTCTGCCCAGCAAAGGTCAGAGGAGAAACCTCTGGCCTTGAAACAGAGCCAGGTCACTTGACCCACATTGAGATGGAACCCATGGCCTTGCCTACACATCTCTGATCTCCAGAGAACTTTTCTTCTAGAGATCCAGGACTGAGTGATTCAGGCAACCACTGCATGATGAGAAATGTTTCTAAATCCATCTCATCCCCAAGTGTGTTTTCCTAGGCTCCAAATGGCAATATCCTGCAGTCCTAGAGAAATCAAGTTAGTTTTCATTTCATACATGAAATAGATATGAGAGTATCCTTTTACATAATGGGGAATACCTCCTTACCATTAAAAAATATTCCACTGCCAGCTGGGCGCGGTGGCTCACACCTGTAATCCCAGCACTTTGGGAGGCGGAGGTGGGCAGATCACGTCAGGAGATCGAGACCATGGGGTGAGACCCCATCTCTACTAAAAATACAAAAAAAAAAAAAAAATTAGCCTGGCGCGGTGGTGGGCGCCTATAGTCCCAGTTACTCGGGAGACTGAGGCAGGAGAATGGCGTGAAACCAGGAGGTGGAGCTTGCAGTGAGCCTAGATTGTGACACTGCACTCTAGCCTGGGTGACAGAGTGAGACTTGGTCTCAAAAAAAAGACAGAAAAAGAAAAAAAAATTCCACTGCCATGATCAATGTGGTGATAAACACAGTAAACTTGCTCCTCACAGGATCACATGCAAAGGGCCAATGTGCCAGCAGATCTGAGCTGAGAATCATCCTTGTGGGCAAAACAGGAACCGGCAAAAGTGCTGCAGGGAACAGCATCCTCAGGAAGCAAGCATTTGAATCGAAGCTGAGTTCCCAGACCTTGACTAAGACTTGCAGCAAAAGTCAGGGAAGCTGGGGAGATAGAGAGATTGTCATTATTGACACACCAGATATGTTTTCTTGGAAGGACCACTGTGAAGCTCTGTACAAAGAGGTGCAGAGGTGCTACTTGCTCTCTGCACCAGGACCCCATGTGCTGCTCCTGGTGACTCAGCTGGGCCGCTACACCTCACAGGACCAGGAGGCTGCACAGAGGGTGAAGGAGATCTTTGGAGAGGATGCCATGAGACACACAATTGTCCTCTTTACCCACAAGGAAGACCTCAGTGGTGGCTCCCTGATGGATTACATGCGCAACTCTGATAACAAAGCCCTAAGCAAGCTGGTGGCAGCATGTGGTGGGCGAATCTGTGCCTTTAATAACCGTGCTGAAGGGAGAAATCAGGATGACCAAGTGAAGGAGCTAATGGACTTGATTGAGGATCTGTTGATGGAGAAAAATGGTGATCACTATACCAATGGGCTGTACAGCCTAATACAGAGGTCTAAATGTGGATCTGTGGGATCAGATCAAAAATTAAAGGAATTCAAAGAGAGCCTTATAAAGTACATGGAAACTCAGAGAAGTTACACAGCCTTGGCTGAAGCAAATTGCCTGAAAAGAGCCTTAATCAAAACACAACTGTGTGTTTTATTTTGTATTCAGTTGTGTCTCAGATTGCTAATTCTGTTGCTTTGCATATTGCACAGCATGTGCACTTTGTTTTGTTGCTTACTCTTTAGTATGTGCAATTTACTCTGCAGCTTGCTGTTTATTATACCCAAAAAGTTAATGATAGTTTCGAGAACAGTTATTAGACTAGAACGCAGGACTCCTAGGTTATTTACTCACTAGTGGGTGAATTTTTTATTATTTACTCACTAGTGGGTGAATCACAGTGCTTTCCCTGTAAAATGTGGTACCCGATGTCATATTTGAGATTCTATGAAATGTTTAAATCTTAACATCACTCCAATTATTAATGAACCAAATCATACGGTAAGTTACTGTCTGCATTGAAATATAATATCAAAGCCTTTTGAAATCTGTAAACATAAAATTCCTCTCATTTTCAAATATTTAAAGCCAGTTTTATGTTCCTAAAAACTCATTTTCTTCTTTCTAGTACTACTGTTTCTACTGAATATAATGAAAATGGCAATAAAATAATATTACATAAACTGTAAAGTTCCTTTGATCATATGTTGTTAATTCTCTTCTATAGTTTTCTCCTTAGAAAATGATAAGTGGACACATGACTCATTTTAGCCAGATTTTAGCCCGGACGTCCTTCAGATTGATCACTGAAACATAGGTAAAGACAAATGTCAGAAAAGATAGTAAATTGGACTGGATATTCTGAAGCATCATCTTGCTAGGTGCAAATAGAGGCTACATTTATTAAAAGAAACAGAATTTTTATAATTGATGAGCTCGCCAGAAGAATAAAGAAAATTCCAAAGATGGAGCAAACAATTTTTTTTTTAAATGAGGAGCACAAACTGGAGTTGAGGCCCATGAGGAATACATGAACAAGGAAGGCAGAGCTGACCAATAGACAAATGCTGGTACCAATCCTGAGATGAAGAAATCAATCTTGGGTTGTCAGTAAAATTGGAGAGCTGATTTGGAGTGTTCTGTAGTAATTTAGGACCTTCCAGGAGACTAAAGTTATCCAAAATTAGTTGAATTCTTGACATCCAGTAGAAGCAAATGCAATCTTCTCTACAGGAAGCCATCTCCAATTCACTTGAGTATTCAGATGGAATTAATTCAGTAAAGTGAACCTAAATCATGTCCCTATGAACAAGATCAAAAAGATTTAAAAACCCAACGGAAGTAGACTCAGAAACTTTAATATCACAGTACTAGTTACAGTGTACTAAGTAGCTATGAAATATTTCTTAAAATATCATACACACACAGCCCAAATTAAAAAGGAACAAAAAACTACCAAAGATGATGAACTGTATTTGAAAAAACTCATGAAATTTTAATAAATAAAATTATAATTGATTTTTAAAAAGTTAATGATGAATACTCCTATTAATGATGGGGAAGTGAATTGATTACATAAACTCCTCCATGAGTAGCAGTTATAAAAACTTTTAAAATTTTTAAATCAATGTAAAGATACTGAAAAACATCTAAAAGTGGACAGATGAAAAAAGAGAATTTCTCTCAAACATTGCAGGCATTTGTATTAAAATTTAGAACAACAAAGGATGCAGACTATCACTGCTTCTTTTAGCATTTTACCACAGGTCTCATCTATCTAATAACTTTAAAAACAGAAATAAAAATAAAAGGTATGAGTACTGATGAGAAAGAAAAATAATAATTTTAGATAGATAATTAGAGGTAATAAAAGTAAAGCAATGAATCTCAATATAATATCAACTTTTTAAAAGCTACAACACTTCCATACCCTGACAACAGACAGAAAAACTAAATTTAAAAATCAGAGTTCAGACTTCCTTGTCAGATCAAAATAGCATAACAAGGATCAGATACCCACTTCCTGCCCCATGTGAAACAACCAAAAAATGGACAAATGATATAAAATGACAGTGTTGAAGACACTGAACAGAGTAATCACTGAGAATTGGAAAACAAGACAAGACTTTCAATTGTCCCAGCCTCCTGCCTTGAGAGAGTTTTCAGGTCACAACACAGAGAGGGTATAGCAGACAGACCCTATGATGACTTCAAATGATTCCTGGCTCCTGGTGTTCACACCTTTGTAGAACTCCTCCACTTGAGTGTGAGTGGGATCTGAGACCTACTTCTAACCAATAGAACATGGCATGGGTGACAGAATGTCACTCCAGTGATTTATATGGCTGCACAAAGACTTGCTTTTCCTCTCCTTCAAGGAGCAAATTTCTATTTTCTGAATTGCCTATGAACAGGGCTAACATGGCAGAGAACTGCAGGTGGCCTCTAGCCAACATCCAGGAAAAAGTCAAAACCCTTAGTAACAGTCACAAAGAAACAAATTCTGTCAACATCCTGAGGGTTCAGATCTTTCCCTAGTCAAGCCTCTGATTAGACTTAAGCTAGCATTACAGGCTGGTGAAACCCTAAAGCAGAGAACATACAGTTAAGCTATGTCTACACTCCTTGCCCACACTAATCTTGAGATAATAAATCTATGCTGTTTTAAGTTGCTAAGTTTGTGGTAATTTGTTATGCAGCATTAAAAAAAAACTAACATTTATGGAAACCAGGTGGAACTGGCAGACTCCCTGATTTGAGAAGATAGAGCTGGGATTCTGGAGATACAAAGGTGGCTAAGAGTTCACATAACAGTCTGAGAGATGAGACAGCTACATGGAGAGAGAAATCCAGACACCTACAGAGAGTCCCCGTTGAGTCTTCAGTTGAATACTGGTCACCACATGCATGTGGTGAAGCCCCCTGAGGTGACAAAAAGAACCAGTCAAGAATATTACAGGAGATAGTATCCTGCACTCACCACAGACCATAAAAACTAAGAAAGCCTATGATTTGTGGGGTATTGGGTAGAGTTAACAGAAGAGCCTTGACTCGCTAGTGGGAAATAATTGGTTCCAGACTAAAAACTTATCAAGTATGCCTACTAGATATTAAAAGCAAGACCTGAAGGATCAAATTGTTTCCAAGTAACTTAAATGCATCCCATAAGAAAGCTCAAGAATATTTACAGGAGTACGAAAATGTTCAGCACATAAGAAGGTCAAAACCAGATGTCTGGCATCCAATAAAAAATTATTAAACATGAAAATTAGCAAGAAAATATGACCAATGGTGAAGAGATAAATCAATGAATAAATACCAGCCCAGATTGACAAAAGCATTAGAATTATCGGCCAAAGACATTAACACAGTTATTAAAATGGTATGCTATATGTTAAAACAGTTAAGTAGTAAGATGGAAGACATGAAAAAGATCCAAATTTAACCTCTAGAGATAAAAACCACCATAAAAGATATAAGAAATACATTGAATAGGGCTAGCAAAACATTAGGCTGAAAAAGAAAAGATTAGTGATCATCTAAATAGATGCATAAAAGGCTTTCGATAAAATTCAAAAATCCCTTCATGTTAAAAACTCTCAATAAACTAGGTATTGAAGAAACATACCTCCAAAATAGTAAGAGCTATCTATGACAAACCCACAGCCAACATACTGAATGGGCAAAACCTGAAAGTATTCCCTTTGAAAACTGGCACAAGACAAGGATGTCCTCTCTCACCACTCCCATTCAACATAGTATTAAAAGTCCTGGCCAGAGCAATCAGACAAGAGAGAGAAATAAAAGAAAGTAACAAAAGAGAGTTTGTTTCTCTCTTCCAAATGAGAAGAGAGAAATTTACACTATCCTTGTTTGCAGAAAACAGGAGCCTATATCTAAAAAATCCCATAGTCTCAGCACAAAAGCACCTTCAGCTAATAAAGAACTTCAGCAAAGCCTCAGGATACAAAATCAATGTACAAAAGTCACTAGCATTCCTATTTACCAACACCAGTCACGTCGAAAGCTAAATCAGGAATGCAATCCCATTCACAACTGCCTCAAAAATAATAAATATTTAGGAACACGGCTAACTAGGGAGGTGAAAGATCTCTATAATGAGAACTACAAAACACTGCTTAAAGAAATCAGAGATGACACAAACAAATGAAAAAACATTCTATGCTCATGGATAAGAGGAATCAATATCGTTTAAATGACCATACTGCCCAATGCAATTTATAAATTCAATCCTATTCCTATCAAACTACCGATGACATTCTTCACAGAACTAGAAAAAATACTATTTTAAAATTCATACAGAATCAAAACAGACTTAATAGCCAAGGTGATCCCAAGCAAAAAGAACAAAGTTGGAGGCATCATGCTACCTACCTTCAAACTATACTACAGAGCTACAGTAATCAAAATAGCATGGTACTGGCACAAAAACAGACACATAGCCAATGGAACAGAATAGAGAGGCCAAAAATAAGGCCACACACGTACAACCATCTGCCAAAAATAAACAATGGGGAAAGGACTCCCTATTCAATAAATGGTGCTAGAATAATTGTCTAATCAGGCTAGCCATATGCAGAAGATTGAAGCTGAACCCCTTCCTTACACCATATACAAAAATCAACTCAAGATGAATTAAAGACTTAAATGTAAAACCCAAAAACTATAAAAACCCTGGAAAACAACCTGGACAATATTATTCTGGACATAGGAACTGGCAAAAATTTCATGATGAAGATGCCAAAAGCAATTGCAACAAAAGCAAAAACTGACAAATAGAATTCAATTAAGGAGCTTCTGCACAGCAAAAGAAACTATCAACAAAGTAAACAGACAACCTACAGAATGGGAGAAAATTTTTACAAATTATGCACCTGACAAAGAAAGCTCTAATATCCAGCATCTGTAAGAAACTTAAGCAAATTTATAAGAAAAAAAGACAACCCCATTAAAAAGTGGGCAAAGGACATGAATAGACACTTTTCAAAACAAGACATACATGTGACCAGTAAGTATATGAAAAAAAGCTCAATATCACTGATCTTTAGAGAAATACAAAATAAAACTACAATGAGATACCATCACGCATCAGTCCAAATGGCTATTACTAAAAAGTCAAAAATAACAAATGCTGGCAAGGTTGCAGAGAAAAGGGAACACTGATACACTGTTGGTGAGAGTGTAAATTAGTTCAACCATTGTGGAAAGCAGTGTGGCAATTCCTCAAAGAGCTCAAAACAGAACTACCACTCAACCCAGCAATCCCATTGCTGGGTATATACTCAAAGGAAAATAAATCATTCTATCATAAAGACACACATGCATATGGATGTTCATTGCAGCACTATTCACAAT